ATCCATCCTTACATTATTATAATATAATATATTAAAGTAAATTAATTAGTAGAATTACCTTTGCTATTATTTAACTTATTACATTATAATTATAATTTAACTAAACATTTATAGTTAATTATCTCTATCTCAAGTGTTAAACCGAACCAAAGTTAAGTTTACTACCTAAATGTGTAAGACGTTTTACTGATTTAAAGTGAACAGTCTAAATAATAAAAGGTTTTTAAGTATTTAAAAAAATGTTTTATTTCTTTAAAAAAACCATAAAATGCTAAATAGATAGATAGATAACACTTTATTGCACCAAAAATACATTTGCGCTGGATCCGCACTGGATCCAGCTGGAATGATATTGATCCAGCAAAAATCCAGCTTGATTGAAAACACTGCTGGATTGCAATCCCTACACTCTATCCACTGTACTTTGGGAAATTTGTAGCTCTTTAGTTATGAACTGTTTTGGTTTTTGATTTTTTAGCTATTCGTCAACAATTGCTTTTCAACAGTCTATTTCATTCATTGTTTAAAGCAATAACAATTAGTTTAATAAAATTGATAATGTAATTCTTATACTAATTATTTGAAATTGTTGCTATGGCAACAAATAGAATTATAAATCACAAACAGAAAAGTTAACATATTTTGAATTTTCTATTGTTAGTCCTTAATAATGATGTAATTAATACAATAATTCACTTTTAGGAGAATAGTATGTAGAATTATACAATAGTCCATAATAATTTAAATCATTGTTTTCTGCTTACATTGTTTTAACAATGTATTTGCATGGATTGCTGGATTTTTTGTATATATTACAAAATTAAGTATATATATATAGTACTGTTATTAAAAGTAGTGTTTAACTTTTTCAGTAATTAGGTGTGTCTTTCCTTTATACTTTTGTTAATTACTACTATATATTTTATTTTTCATAATTTTTTTGTCTACTGTTGTTTTTATTATTTTTCTTAAATACAGTTGTATTTTGCTATTGTATATGTTTACTTTGATAAATTTTTCATAATGTTTTCAATAATTACAATTACAATGTTATATACAAAGCACTATATATATATATATTTATATATTTATTGTACTTTGTATATACAGTGATACCTCGACTTACGCTACCCAGACTTACGCAAACCCGGAGTTACGCAATTTTCAAATCTGGTCAATTCGTCTTTTGTTTGAGCACCAGGCAACTCTTGATTACTCATTCCCTCCACACTATTGTTCAACTTACATGTTCGGACGTGTCGTGCGGAATTGACACATATCTACAATTTATTTAGTGTTATTTATTTCTGTGTTTGTTATATCTAGGGAGACTCGACAGACTCTATATGGTGATTTCTTGTAACAATGAACGAATCAAAAGACGAGATAAGATTAACGAGAACATTTATTAGCTTACATACATCCGACTTGGATTTTACACACATTGAGAAATTATACCCCGACTTAGCGAATTTGACTTACGCGGTTATCGCTCAGTCCCACCTATCACGTAAGTTCGGGGTATTACTGTATCTTGTAAAAAAAGTGATATTTTATTTGCTATACTTTAGCAAATAAATACAGTTGATGATAAACATAGAAGAGAAATAAGTAAATAATCATAAACGTGGTTAAAATAAAAACCACTTAATTTTAAATTAAAACATTGTAATAAACCTAATTACTGAAAAAGTTAAACAGTACTTTTGTTTAATATTTTGGCGATGTTGAAGCTTATACGCGAATGTGATCTATTCCAATGTTTTAGGCTAATTTGAGGTGAAAAAATTTCAGTGTATTTAAAATTATATATAACTAGCTGCAAGGACCTGCTTCGCTGGGTTTTTATTTGTATGTA